AGTGCTGCAAGCAGTGCTAGTTGGACGATCCTTCTCAGTATTTGAAGGAGTGCACAGCTTGGAGACACGTTCGTCCACTTTCTTCCAGGCCGCCAGCACATCCTTCACACGCTGCAGCTGCTCAGTCAGAACCACGGAGACCACACCGGATGATTGACTGTACCCATCGTCCTTCTTCTTCTCGTACAGCGCAATCAACTCATCCTTATTATTATTATTAGTTCCACTTTTGTACAGCAGGGAGCTGGCGGCAGCGTCATCATCGGATACCGGCCCAATACCAACAATGTGCGTATTGTCCGTCAGCCAAAGATGGAGTTCACCCTTTCCATTGTCTTTTTTACTGTCCCCCTCGGAATACACCGGCAGAGTGACAAGCATCACATTTCTGTTATCTTCAACACCGTCAATCGTCGCTGTGATGAACCCGCTTCTAACGCCCTTCTCATGTCGCTTTTGGTTGTTGCCCCACACGCGCGAGAGTGTCCCGAGCACCTCCGTCCACGACTCCCCCTTGTCATCGGACTCGTACACCCTGCGGCGGCCATCATCACACGCAGTCATCATCATGAGTTTTCCCTTCTCCCGCTCCACGACGGAGGGATCACTGCAGCCATAGGCAGACATCCCCTTCGACAGCGTCCAATTCTTAGTATCCTTGGAGGAGTATAAGATCAGAGAAACGTTGTTATTCTTTCTTTTCTCTTCTTCACTTTCAGTGCCGTCCTCCTTCACGGCTTCCAACGGGAACACAAGCGTATCGTCATCCATCTTAATACCCGATCCACCGCTTCCAATGAGCTGTGGCCAGGATTCGTAAAGTTCTACAAACGAAGTGCACGGGAGACCGTCAGTATCTTCCCAAACAATTCCTTTGTCCTGTTCTTCACTGACATTCCCCTTTACCAGCAAAAGACCCCATGAATCCGCGCCAGCCCCACCCTGACAAACAGCGACATTTTCCCTGATGTAAGTTCCAACAAGCATGTAAATATCACTTCCCTTCACAACTGTTGTTGGCAGGCTCACATGTACTCTGTGGAAATTTTGGGAACCAGCGCGATTCGTTGACTGAGAGGGGCATTTGCCTTCTTCGGAAGAACATTTCTCCAGTGCCTTTGTCCTCAAATTACGTCCACCCAACATTTTTGGGTTTTCACCACTCAACTCAAGGAGCTCCGAGGCAATCTCAGTAAAGTAATAGTTTCCTCCAACTTCATTCTTCTTCTTGCACAGCGCCTCGGCAACGGCAAACACTTTACCATTCACCTCAACTAGACTGGGAGCATAGAGCAAACTCACTGTTTCTTCTTCTTTCTTATCTCTCCAAACAAAATGTTTTCCCAGTGAAGATCCCTGATCTGACGTTGGCTCATCAGCTTGCGCAGCTCTTCCAGTGTCGCACATCATCACGACGAGGAGAAGGAGCACCGCAGAGCAGAAGAGATGCCGGGACATGTTGGGCCTCTGCGGCTCACTCTCTCTTCCTTCCCTCCTCCTTTCGCTGGATCCGGTCACGCGGCGACGGTTGTGTGTGCGGGGTGCCTTCACTGCAGCAACACGTGAGAGCATACAAATATGTGTGTGTGGGCAATGTGAGTGTTGTTGGTCCTTTCAGTGCCTTACAATTTCACAGTAGCGATTAGTGCTTGTTTGCTTTCTTCGTAAGAGAATGAAAGAAATGAGGAAAAACAGGCTAATAAAAAGGGATGAAAGAACAGGCACCGACACCTACAGTAGGCGGCACCGTCATCCCCACCGCAGTCACTCCCAACAACAAAAACTCACGCACACAGATACACTGAACGAGACGGAAGAACAGTGCACCGATAACACACGGTGACTGCCATCAATAGCAGTAAAAGCCACGGCGGGTGCTTCTGCCACGCGCCAGCACGCACCGAGCGACACCCATACCCAGCAAAGCAAACGGCGGAATGCAAAAGAGCACAACGACCCTTCGCAGCACTCGCGCGCAGCCGCCAGTCCTTTTGTTGCTGTTTCCTCTAGCACACCCGCTCCTCAACCGCCACAGGCGCACATCACTCCGCACAGGCGAAGAATACCCCGTCGGCAAGTTCACAGCAAGAGAGACACTTCGGCACGTGCAGCTGCTGAGAGGGAATCAATCCACACTCGCCCAAGGCAGCCTCAACAACACTCACTGATTGCACGCCGCCAACATCACACCCGCAACACGTCGTGAAGGCATATGAAGGGCTCACGTCCTCCCTCCTCGCGAGGGCCGCCGCAGCCAAAATCTTTTGCATGTGTGCGTTCTCAGCGTTTACACCGCTCCACAACGTGAGCGAAATGGTGTATATGTGCTTGTGTGCTTGTCAGCGTATATAATTACAGAGCAGCTGTGCGCCACAAGAGAGTCAGAGGAAAGCAACGGCAGAGAGAGGCAGATAGCACACACGCAAATTACGCATATCATCACAGATACACGCCGCCAGCGGAATGGGTGCTCTCAACCACAAAACAATGAAAAACAAAACAAAAAGCCGAAGCGTGGGACGACCAGCGCACACACTCTCATTGCTCCCGTAAAGCAAAACACACACACAGGGAGAGAGAGAGAGGTCGCCCACTCAATGCAATGGAAACAAAACAAAAACCGTTACGGTGCTCCGCCCATGCAGCCAGGCAGGACGGCAGCGGTGCGTGTGGTGCAAAAGAGAGCACCAACGAGCCTGCATGGGTGTGCATGCAATATATACAATGGGCACATTATGTGTGTGCCTCGTGGGGTGAGGTGAGGGCGAGAGTCCGTGCAAGGGGACGCACACACAGAGAGTGAGTGAAGGACGAGTGTGTGTGTGGGCGGTGCATGGCGCTCTCTCCCTCACTCTCACGCGGCCACCGCCGCAGCAGCAGCCGCACACGCAACAACAAGAAGAAGCAAAAGAGGGGAGGTGGTGTGGAAGACAGCGGTGCTGCTGTCACTGTCGCCAGTCGTCGCCGTTGTATTTTTCATGGCTGTGGCTTCGACTGGTGTTTCCTTTGGATTGGCTTCTTTATTTTCATTTTGTTTTTCTTCTCGTGCCCCTGCACCATCAGCTGCTGGATCATTGTTGGGGATGCCGTCTTCAGTGCTCTTGTCAGCTTCGTTATTGGCGGCATCACCGTTTGCCGTGGGTGATGGTGGCCTTGATTCTGCATGGTCGTCTTGGACGCGTTTTAGCGGTTGCACGGGTGGTAAATCCTCAGTGCTGGACGGTCCATTCATTGTTGCTGGTGGTAGCGATGGTGTTGCTGTTTGTATTTCTGCATTGTTGGCTGGACTTCCACGTGTCTCTGTTGGTGCCTCATGACTTAAGCTTTTTTTGTCTCCTGTTTTTTTTGGTTCTTCTTCCGCCTTCTCTTCAGGACTGTCAGATTTACTGCGAAGATTGTTTTCTTCTTCTGTCAGTGTCTCATCGGAGGATTCATTTCTCTCGGAAGTATTCTCCGAGTTACCATCGTTGCCACTCTTGCTGCCAGGGCTGCCAGAAGATGATGAAGAAGACGATTGATCAACCCTTTGGTGTTGGGGCTCGGTTGTTTTACCGTCCGTGTGATCCCTCTTATCTACTTCCTTTCCTCCATTTAGACCCAACCCTTCTGGCTTTCCCTGCTGTCCTTCTGTATCTAATCCTTTGAGCTTCGGCGGTGATGCTTCTGGCTGACCTGCGACAATACCTCTTCCTGAACCAGGCGCTGCACTGCCCACTGTATTAGTTCCCAAAGAATTATCGTCCAACTTTTCCTTCGTATCTTGAGATAAACCTGGACCACCACTCAATCCTTGTCCAGCTTCCGCAGCCTCAACCGCCTTTATTAATGCCATTCGAGTGGCTAACAACCCGCAATCCGCCTTTAGAGACACGCCGTCATCTCCACCATTACTCGTGTGCCTCAAACCGTTCCCTCCACCCTCACTGCAGTAATCGTCCATCGCGTGTCCAAAAACCGCACCGCACCACTGCACGCAGAGGGCACACACCAGCAGCACACGGCCAGTCATCATCATCGCCATCACTCCTGTCACTTGCGTGTAGCCTCCAGCACAAACTAACAACACGTCAACGCAGAGTGAAACCAAAAAGAGAGTCACGGCCGCTACACCACACACAACCACCGCACAGTGGCAAATGGCAGCAACCCAGAAGCGGCAGCGCACACACCATGAGGCAGTTGAAAACAGTGAAAGGGCAAAAACACACAAAACGCCCTGTAGCAATTAATAATCAGCAGAAAAAAAAATTAAAAACAAAACACGGGTAAACAAACAGCAATACAGTAAAAAATGTAAAAACACAAAAAACAAAGGGCTGCACAGTATGGCTCCAGTGTGCATGCATTCACACACGGACATGCGTCCATGCAAGCAGTTGTGTGCGTGTAGTAAATACAAGTGTCTCTGGGATGCGTTCAACGTGATAAATGTGGAAAACAACACGGAGCACACAGCAGAGCAGCGGAAGCAAGCAAAGCAAAGCACAATCATTATAATTACTCTTACTTCATGCATCGGACCACAGTAGACGCACGCAAGTCCCCGTGGTTGAGTGCTGGCACGCACAGCCCGCATGCACAATTCTTCAGCCCACAGCGGTGCACGCCAGCGCGGATGCGGCGAGCAGCAGCGGGGCACACACCCACGCAAAGCTGCTGAGGCTGCCGTCGATTTCGCGAAGACGTGAAGGTGCACGGGTGGTCGTCGTGGTTGGCGCCTCTATATTCCTGGCCGTATCATTTGGTGCCTCCGGCGCAGTGGTTGTTGTCGTTGGTGCCATTGTTGTAGTTGTGGTCGTTGTGGTTGTCGTGGTTGGTGCCTGTTCCTTAACTTCGTTACCAGTTAGCGCCACTTCTTTATTATGCTCCGGATTATTTACAACTGACATATCGGAATCACCTTTTGATCCTGGCGAAAGGTTATTCCCTTCTGATGCCCCTTGCTGACCAGACGCATCTCTTCCATCTTGCAAAGTGGGTACTACACTTGGTCCTTCTCCTGTACCTGTCGGAGATGGAGCTGCTGGAGCAGAAGCGGTCTTCAATGGTGTCTCGGAAGGAATGGGCTCCTTATCTGAACTCTGTCCAAAACCTTCCGTGAATTTTGCTCCTGGCTTCTCGGGATTGCTTGAACCCCTTGAATCCTGGAGCTTTGGACCCTGTCCAACGTTGCCAGATTTATCATCACCCTCTGCCACGCACACGGACGGGCAGCAGCACAGGGCGAGCACCAGCAGGGCGCACAACAGACGGTACGTCGTCATCGTGAGTGTGGTCGTTCAGTGGTGTGGAGCTGATCTGCACAGTGAGGGACATGGAGAGCAACAGGGGAGACGAGAGGTGCGGCAGACACACACACAGAGAACAAACACACATGAGGAGAGAGCAGCAGCCAGGCATGCACCGCACGCCGCACACCACACACGACACACACTCCAATCCACGGCAACAGGCACACACACACACAGCCCTGCCGCAACACCAACACACAAATGGAAGAGGGAGAAGCAAACAGGAGCGGCACAAAAGGCTCCACCGCATGCAAATACGGCGAGAACGGTCCATCGTGTCGGCACCCCTCACAGAGGGTACGCACAAACACACGAGAAGGTGCAGCGCACACAGCAACACAAAAGCAAAGTAACAATAAAAAAAGAAAGAGGAGATCCCCGCAAACCAATTGAATTACTGGTCCATGGGAAGGCTAGCCAACATTCATCGCAAAGCAACTTGTTATCCTGTTTTTGCTGTATGCCGTTACAATAACGAGTGAGTAGCGCAAGGGCCGTACGTACAAAAGTGGCAAGCATTCCGTCCGAAAAGTGCCGTCGTGCGGGCTCGCGCAATCCAAACACTCGCATTACCAATTCCAAACGACGGGGGCATTTCTGCAGTGGATGAAACGAATTCTCTCGTGGTCCTTCTCGAATACCCGCGTTTTTGCTTCCTGCGTGTCATACCTGCTGGCACTTTCTGTGGCGACCTGTGCGCGAGGCGTCTGTTAAGAAGACGGTGTCATCATTGCGGCGTCCGCATGGGAGGCCTTCTCCAACTATCGGAACGCCAGGCTGAGCACGTCGGGCATGCGCCCTCATATTGTGGACGAACGAGCGCACTCTGCTGCAGGTTGGGCAGGAGGACGTCAATCCGTCGCTCGCTGGTCGGAAAGGATTTGCGGCGCTCACGTCGGGAAGAGGTTCTGGCGGAGGCAGCGGCGGGCCGGTCTCCTCGGTGGGGGAGGGACGGCACCACCGATACAGAGGGTTACTTGTGATACGAAGGGCACGCGCAGGCCTGTCGAAGAGTGGGCAGGAATCGCACCGCGCCTGTGCGAAGAGCCACCACTCGTGGCACGTTGTCCGGGTCGTGCCAGGAATAGAGTCCTCGCCACACCGACAGGCGCCTGTCATGCGGTGTACGGGCCTTCCTTTTCTTCTGGGCATCCCTCCAGTACGGTCGCCTGGCTGCAGCGAGGAAGTCCACGTGCCAGATTGGGCCGCCCTCCTGCGGGAGGGATCGTGCAATCGTGGCTTGTTCGTCAGCGGCCTCATTGCGTGGAATACCGCAGTGCGATGGAGAGAACATGAAGTTTACAGAGTGACCTCGCTGTATCAAGGAGAGCAGCAAAATCCAAATCTCTTCGGTAACGTAGTCTTGCACGGCCAGTGGGACGACGCGGAGTGCCTCAGTTGCCGACGGGGAGTCCGTAGCCACCAGGATTCGTGTGGGCGATTGGGATGTTCCCAGACAAAAGGTATGAGACGTATAATGCCATTTTCAGTGGCAAGGCACTCTGCTCTATATGAGCGTGCGAGCCTGCCAGCTGCTGCACGATGGATCTCCACAGGGAGATCATTTGTCGTGGTGGAGCCATAAAATAGTGCAGCGGATCCAGATGCGAGTTCGGCGAGAGATGAAGAAACGTCTGCCCATAATTCAAAATCAAAATCTCCTAGAGAGGAGTAAATAGAATCAAAAGCCGTGCGCTTGACATCGTCAGAGGCGTCTTTGGCAAAGCGTGGCTGAATAAATTCCACTTTATTGCAGCTCACAGTGTCTCAGGGGAAAATTCGATGTTGAATAGGAGGAGCGCGATTGTGGCTGTGGGGTATCTCAATAATGTTACGTACGCGGCGCAATCCATTAACAACAGCATCTCTCTGAAGTGGGATCGATGTCGCCGCTTTTCCTGCATAGACGGCGGCATGGCCTCCAATCAGATTGCGCCACGCACGTTCTCAATACATCGGAGAAGTGTGAGGCGTTCGTGTTGTGTGGTTGTGCGGAATCCAATGATCCTCCGCAGCGGTGCTGGATTGGCTGCCAGGTGGACAGAAGTATCCTTCTTTGATGCGCGTGGGCCGAGCGATGCCGTGCAGCTGTCGCGGTGCCGCACTTCCAGGCTGTGGAGGTGAATGGGGCCGGACACGGTGCGATTGCCTCGCCGCCGTCGTGCAACGCACCGTGGACGCGCCCAACCAGAAAGTATCGCGTGGTGTGCTGGGGCGCCCCAGCCTCTGCACCCAGCCGCAGCTGACAGCGGCGTGGCGCGGTCCGCATCGCAGTCCAACTAAAGCATTGTTTTTTTATTTGCACTGTGTTGTGTGACGAAGGTGCGTAGGAGCTTCCCGATCTGATGGGAGAATTGCGATTCTGAAGAATGCTTTGTAGTTGCGCAGCGCCGTTTTGAGGAGCAGGTGAGTGCCTGTCTGCATTAATCAGCAAACAACATCTCGGATGACAGCAGGAGGCACTGCGGTTTCTCCTTTTTGTTGCACAGCGACTTTCTTGGAAGTCACGTTTGATTGGCAGCTTTTGGGCCTTTTGCTGGAGAAGGTGGGAGATTGAGGGCATTAGGACTGAATTCATTTGGGTGGCTGCGTTCCGTTTACTTGCGGCCAGTCGTGGCACTCTGGTTTGGCAGCTCGTCTCTTTTGTTTACTTCCCACCGCAGCACGTGGATAACACTGATCCGAAGAACATTTGTTTGAACGCGTGTGAGCTGCTGCCGTGCGTGGTGCATGGACTATGTGATTGTGTGGGGTGGTGCATTGAAGTGACGAATACTTCAGTTTGGCGTGTCGCGGTGTATTGGAATGATGTTCGGATGACATGTGAAGGGTGTTGTTTGTGATTTGTGTGTCTTCTTTGGTGGAGCCGACATGTGTGCGGGGATTGTGGCATTGCTGGCTGAAAGCTCCACGTCACTTTTCAGCATTCCTGGATGTGCTGAGGAATGACGGCTGGCGACCAGCGTGTTGGTGCTGCTGGTGGGAATAATTACACGAGGAATTGGCCATTTTCTCTTCCCCATGCTGGAGCCGATGAACTGGCACGAGGGCACCGGCTGCAGGCTGCCTGCCAGCACGTGTGAGCAGCGGATCCATGCACACACAGACGCTCATCGCAAGAGCTTGTGCGATCACAATGGCTTTTTGTGGCGTGCTTTTGTGGACGTCAGGCAATCGAAGAATGTGTGAAGCAAACGGCTGACTGCACACGAGGAAAATAAGTGCGTGCACTATGCCGTGTTTCAGCGTCGATGGCAGAGCGACAGGAAGCCCGTGCTGGCAGCTGAGATCTTTGCGTCGCGAGGGATGTCGGTGTTGACTTTGGATCGTCGAGGGTGAAGTGATTTTGCTGCTGCCCGTGTGTGTGGCCACTCCGGCAGAGAGCGAACACAAAAGGGAGGGATGCAGGCGCTGCGTGTGTGTGTGTGCAGGTGCCATGCAACAACGTCACAGCAAACATGCTGCGACTCGGTGACCCTCACATCGTTGTGGTCCTCACGAACAGCCCAGGCACGGCCCACACCGATGCACTTAGTGGACGGAGTGAGGCATCTTTGAGGCGCTGCAGGGAACAGGATGTGTTGACGCAGCCACGACGTGCATGGAGTGTCACGATTGCACAGTCAGCTGTGGCTGGTGGAATATTTACTTCTCGGAGGCAACAGAGAGGGAGAGAGAGCTGCTCCTGCTGCTGGCGTCGTTGCTGCCTTTTGTGGCCTCCCATGCCGATTATTTTCTGTCCGCTGATCATGGGTGGCATGCCTCCACTAGTGACGTCGTCTGCAGGCATTTCACAGCACCAGTGAAACACACATCACTTCGCATGCTTTGGCTGTGGATATGGTGTCGTGAGTGCAGCCGGCATTATTTTGCCCGACTCCTTTTCACTGCCTTGCGACAAATAGATGCGTCGCCGCCCGAGTCGTTCACTGCAGCTCCGTGTGCTGTGCTGCCAGCACAATACTCTCTTGTTGTCCGACGCCTGGCTGACAGTCAAGCACCACTGCGTTGGGACATGCAAGGATGTGGACTGCCGCTCACGGTGTTGGGCACCGCTGTTTGGATGCGGCGGTCACACGAGCGGATGTATTGTGGCACAGTCAAATGCGTGAATTACGCGGAATCACAGCGGCTGCAATAATATCAACGGTGTGGCGCCACGGAATATGTGAGGGGGTGATGCATGATGAACCACAGTGGGCGGTATGCGATGGAGGTGCACCGCGACGGAGCGTCATCCCACCCTCAGCCTGCAGGGGAATGTACACCCACAAAATATATGGACGAGGCACCACCAAACACACATGCCCTTCCATGCACCAATAAATAGGAGCGAAGGTGCGTTCTGGTGTGTGGGAGTCCACTCACATATTATTTATTTCCACCGCAATAAACGGTGAGGAATCAGGTGCCACAGCAACGGAAGGAGAAACAAACATCTATTGCAACGCTTTAACAGCGAAAGGCAGGAACAACACAAACCGAATTGTTGGCTGCAACAACACAAGAAAATTTCACAAGGGGAAAGAATCAAATAATTGTGCACCCTGCAGAAATCCCCAACACACTACCCAGGCATGAAGGTTTACCCTCTGCAAAAAAAAAAAAAAAAAACGCATGCGGACATCTGCCAACATTCAAAAAGAAACACAAATAAATGTTTGCTTGAATTATTACATTAATTACGCTTATTTTGCGTGTGCGGCTGCGGCTGCAGTGGTGGCCGTGCTTGCATGAAGTGGAGTGCGCTGAATATGAAAGAAGGCCGAAGGCAACTGAATTGTTCTTCTGATGAATATTGGCTGCACTTCCCGTGGACCAGCAATTTACGTGGTTTGCGGGGATCTCTCCTTTTTTTATTGCTAGTTTGCTTTTGTGTTGCTGTGTGCGCTGCACCTCCTCTTGTGTGTGTGCGTACCCTCCGTGAGGGGTGCCGACACGACGGACCGCTCTCGCCGTATGTACATGCGGTGGAGCCTTCTGTGCCGCTCCTGTTTGCTTCTCCCTCTTCCATCTGTGTGTTGGTGTTGCGGCAGGGCTGCGTGTGTGTGCGCCTGTTGCCGTAGATTGGAGTGTGTGTCGTGCGTGGTGTGCGGCGTACGGTGCATGCCTGGCTGCTGCCCTCTCCTCATGTGTGTTTGTTCTCTGTGTGTGTGTCTGCCGCACCTCTCGTCTCCCCTGTTGCTCTCCATGTCCCTCACTGTGCAGATCAGCTCCACACCACCGAACGACCACACTCACGATGATGATGACGTGCCGTCTGCTGTGCGCCCTGTTGGTGCTCGCCCTGTGCTGCTGCCCGTACGTGTGCACTTCGGACACCCTGCAGACTCAAGTTAAAAATAATACAAATGACGCCAGTCATTCCGCTACTTTGTCAGGAACATCATTGGGGGTCCTTCAGTCAGAATCGTCACATAAGGAGCCCGGTGAGAAGGATGGAAAAAATGCCGGAAATGAAGGATCTGCGACCGGTACAGTGGACATAAATGATAAGAAAGGTACGACAGAAGGTGATAACGGTGCTTCAGGACCAAAAAGTCGCACGAGAGAGCCCACAGAACAGGCAGATAAGAACTCCGAAGCCTTAGCCGAGACGAACACGACGACCACTACAACACGGGCACCAACCACGACGACGACTACCACCACTGCGCCAGAGGCACCAAGCACTACGACTACGGAGACGCCAACTACGACGACGACCCGCGCACCGTCACGTCTTCGCGAATTCGACGGCAGCCTCAGCAGCTCTGCGTGGGTGTGTGCCCCGCTGGTGCTCGCCGTATCCGCGCTGGCGTACACCGCTGTGGGCTGAAGAGGTGTGTGCGGGCTGTGCGTGCCAGCACTCAATCACGGGGACATTTGTACGTCCACTGTGGTCCGATGTATAAAGTAAGAGTAATTATGATGATTGTGCTTTGCTTTGCTTGCTTCCGCTGCTCTGCTGTGTGCTCCGCGTTGCTTCCTACATCCGCCACTTGGCACGCATCCCAGACACAATTTTATGCATGCGCACTAGAGTCTTGGGTTTGGTTTTTTTTTTCTTTTTTAATTATTAGTGTTTTTTATTGCTTGCTTTTAAACTTCTGGTTTGCAGGACGGTGTGCGAGTTCTGCAATCGCACTGATTCCATCAGTTTCGTGGTGTGTGCGGCTGCGGCTGCGGTGGTGGCCGCGTGAGAGTGAGGGAGAGAGCGCCATGCACCGCCCGCACACACACTCGTCTTTCACTCTCTCTGTGTGTGTCCCCTTGCATGGACTCTCGCCCTCACCTCATCCCACGAGGCACACACATAATGTGCCCATTGTATATATTGCATGCACACCCATGCAGGCCCGTTGGTGCTCTCTTTTGCACGACACGCACCGCTGCCGTCCTGCCTGGCTGCATGGGCGGAGCACCGTAACTGTTTCTGTTTTTATTGCATTGAGTGGGCGACCTCTCTCTCTCTCTCCCTGTGTGTGTGTTTTGCTTTACGGGAGCAATGAGAGTGTGTGCGCTGGTCGTCCCACGCTTCGGCTTTTTGTTTTGTTTTTCATTGTTTTGTGGTTGAGTGCACCCATTCCGCGGGCTGTGTGTGTGTGTTTGTGTGTGATGATATGCGTAATTTGCGTGTGTGCTATCTGCCTCTCTCTGCCGTTGCTTTCTTTGGACTCTCTTGTGCCGCACAGCTGCTCTGCAATTATAGGCGCTGCCAAACGCACAAGCACATGCACACCCACACATGCCATGTCGCTCACGCTGCATAGAGGTCTGAACGCTGAGAATGCACATAAAAGGTTCTTGCTGTGGCGGCCCTGCTAGGAGGGAGGTTGTCAGCCCGAGAATTCTTTCGTCGACGTGTGGAGGGTGTGATGTTTGCGGCGTGCAGCCGGTGGGTGGTGTTGAGGGTGCCGTGGGCGAGTGCGGATTGTTTCTCGCCATGGAGCTGCGCGTGCCGACGTGTTTATCCCGCTGTGGATTTGCCGATATTCTTTGGCTGTGCGGGGAGATGTGCGTTGGAGGGCACGCTGGAAGGGACAAGCAGTAAAACGACTGGTGGCAGCGCGTTGGTGGTGCGAAGGGCGGCTGCACCCTTTTGCGTCCCGTTGTTTTGTCGGTGTTGCTTGGTGTGTGCTCACGCGTGATGAATAATGCATCCTCCGTGACTCCTGCTTGTAGTGGCAACAGCCGCAGTGTGTTCCCGGTGCATTTCTACTGCTTCTGCTGTTCTTTGTGTCTGTGTGCGTGAGTTGTTGTTGTTGGGAGTGACTGCGGCGGGGATGATGGTGCCACTCACTGTGGATGGGTGGCGGTGTTTACTGTTTCACTTTTTTAAATTTTCTCTCTTTCTCACACACGAAGAAGGAAATCAAGCGCCAAACGCTACTGTGAAATTGTAAGGCTCTAGAAGGACCAACAGCACACACACACCGCCCACACACATATATTTATATGCTCTCACGTGTTGCTGCAGTGAAGGCACCCCGCACACACAACCATCGCCGCGTGACCGGATCCAGCGAAAGGAGGAGGGAAGGAAGAGAGAGTGAGCAGCAGAGGCCCAACATGTCCCGGCATCCCTTCTATTCTGCGGTGCTGCTCCTCGCCGTTGTGATGATGTGCTGCTGCAGTGGAGCTGCATCCAGTCAGGACACGTCGCCAGCTTCAGGATCTTCAAAGGGGAAATTGTTTGATTGGAGAGATAAGAAGGGAGAAACAGTGAGTTCGCTCCGTGTTCCCAGTCTTGTTGAGGTGAATGGTGATGTGTTTGCCGTTGCCGAGGCGCAGTGCACGGGCACCGGAGAATGCGTTTTTACTGGGATTGCCTCGGAGCTTTTGGCTCTGACTGATGAACCATCAAATGAGTTGGATATGAGTAAATTGAAGACACAAGTACTGGTGAACCGTTCTTCCGGGGGAGAACAATGCCCCTCCCAAACAGCAGTTCTGGCTGGCACTCAAAGAGTGAAGAAGGTACATGTGAGCCGACCAACAACAGTCGTGCAGGGAAGTGATATTTACATGCTTGCTGGAAACTACAGCTGGACATATGAGGATAAGGCAGATTCTGTGTTTCAATGTGGACTCTTGCTGGTAAAAGGTAACATTAACAATGAGGAAGGCAGTACCAACAAAAGGATCCTTTGGAAAGATACTTACGATCTCCCATGGATTTCTAACGGCAGACAGGAACAATCCTGGACACGACTGATTGGCGGTGGTGGATCGGGTATTAAGACAAAAGGTGATACTCTCTTGTTTCCATTGGAAGGCACAAAAAAAGAGGATGGGAAAGCCGTTTCGCTGATTATGTACTCCTCGGACACTGCGGGTTGGGTGGTATCGAGGGAGATGTCTGCCGACGGCTGCGGTGATCCCTCCGTCGTGGAGTGGAAGGACAAACTCATGATGATGACTGCGTGTGATGATGGCCGCCGCAGGGTGTACGAGTTTAATCTAACGGAGTCGTGGACGGAGGCACTCGGGACACTCTCGCGCGTGTGGGGCAACAAACACAAGGGAAATAAGAAGGGCGTTGGGAACGGGTTTATCACAGCGACGATTGAGGACAGGGACGTGATGCTCGTCACTCTGCCGGTGTATTCCAAAAAAGGAGAAAATGGAAAGGAAAATGTGGAAAAGGGCAGACTCCATCTTTGGCTGACGGACAATACGCACATTGTTTATATTGGGCCGGTGTCGGGGAAGGAACAAGATGTTGCCGCCAGCTCCCTGTTGTACAAAAGCGGTAAAATTGGTAAAAGTGAAACGAATGGGAAGGAAGAGTTGATTGCACTGTACGAGAAGAAGAAGGCCGAGGGGGAGAAACCATCAACCGGTATGGTTTCTGTGCGTCTGACTGCGCAGCTGCAGCGGGTGAAGGAGGTGGTGGCGAACTGGAAGGAAGTGGACGAACGTGTCTCTCAGCTGTGCACCACTTTACTTGCTCAGAAGGGTTTCTCATCTGACAATGCCTGCGGCGCTGATAAGATCACGGATGGGCTGGTTGGATTTTTGTCTGGCAACTTCTCTGATGGCACATGGAGGGACGAGTACCTCGGGGTGAACGCCACAGTAAAGAACGGTGCAGCAGAGGCAACAAAGACTTCCGATGGTGTGACGTTCCATGGAGCGTGGGCGGAGTGGCCCGTTGGCAGTCAGGGGAGAATCAGCTGTACCACTTTGCGAACTACAACTTCACTCTTGTGGCGACGGTGTCCATCGACAGGGTGCCGAAGGAAGATACTCCCATCCCTTTGATGGGCGTGAAGAAGATGAATGGTGCCGGTAAGAATAAAGTATTCCTGGGACTGTCGTACAGCAACAAAAATAAGTGGCAATTGCGGTGCGGTGACGAAAAGACGACGGAGCTCAGCAGCAATTGGAAGCCAGAGACAACACACCAAGTGGCTATTGTGCTACAGAACGGCAAACAGGGCTCGATCTACGTTGATGGTCAGCATGTGGGTGTGGGTGCGTCGTGTGCATTGGGAAGCACGGAATCCCAAGAGATCTCCCACTTCTACATTGGAGGGGACGAACGCAGTGCAGGCGGCGCAGGGAACAAAGAAGAAGTGTCAGTGACTGTGACGAACGTCCTGCTGTACAACCGCCCGTTGAGTACTGCGGAGATGACTGCGCTTAAAATGAAAAGCGTTAATATTCCAAAGCTGTATCATGCAAAAACAGAGCCGAGGGGTACTCCGTCTACTCCTGCCGGGCAACAGCCGTCGGAATGGGGGCATTTGGTGGGAAGCAGTAAAGATGCGAGTGGTGGTGTGGAGGGGGCCGATTCACAGATCAGGGAATTAAATGCCACGGCGCTCAGCAGCAACCTCGGAAATGTGTCGCAAGAAAATAACAGCGATGCCGGCACCATGCGTGGGAGCGGACTGCTGCCATCGCTGCTTCTTCTTTTGGGACTGTGGGGGTCTGCGGCTCTGTGAGGAGTGACTGGCTGCCGCGTGGGACACCTGCGGCATCCCCTGCACACAATTACTTCCAAGAACTAAATTATCCTTAAAATAATTTTCTTTTTTTGCTTTTTGTTTGTAATTCATCATTTTTTTTTTTTTTTTTTTTTGCGTGTGTGCGCGTGTGTGTCCTTTTTTTTTTTTATTTTTTTTTTGGTTTTCTGTTGTTTTTTTTAGTCTCTCACTCCCCCTTTCTTTTTTGCTTTTGGGGCAATCACTATAGACGCTTCTTTTCTTTTCTACTCTTCCCTCTTTTAATTGTTTCTTGCTGCACTCTTCCTGTGAGGGGTGCCGTGTGTTTCCCGCCCAACTGCTCCACTCGCACAACCACCGACACGCTCATGACGACGGCCCTGTGCGCCTCGCCTGCTGCACGCATGAGGAGGGGCCGCGACGAACGGCGCGCTGAGGGGGCCGTGACGTGTGGGCGTGCGACGAGGGCCTGTGGGGCGGAGCACACATTTCATTCCCTCTTGTTTTGTTTTCTTGCGGCCAGGGCGGGCAGACACCCGCAGCGCCACACACACAGCCACACCCTGCCGCCGTGTTTTTATTTAAGGATTTGTTTTGCTTTGCGTGTTTATTTCATGCGGTGGCACACCCTTCGGTGTCGGCCTCGTGAGCATTTCTCTCCCCTCCGATGATTTCTTTTTCTTTTTGCTGCGCTCACTCTCCCGATGGAGAGACGCGACTCCCGTCATGTCTGCGTGCTTCTCTCAATCCCCACAAACACGAGTGACTGTGCTCTGCGGGCCGCACTCACGCGCCGATGAAAGGGCTGAGGGGAGCAGCAACACGCAGATGACCCCATGAAATATAAACGATGTGCGGACACATGGAGGGTCGGACGGTTGAAAGACATTTAAATATCTTTTTAATTTATTTTCGGACAAAATATGCAGACGATTTCTGGAGCAACATTGTAGTTGGTTGCTTTTTTTGTGTGTGTTTTTTCTTTTTCTTTTTTTCTTTTTTATTATTTGGGTGTAGCCGTAATAGAGGACGACTTTTTTTTTCTTTTTTCTTTTTTTTCATTTTTTTTTCCTTTTTTACTTCTTTTCAAAGTGTGGGGTGCGGAAAGGTGAAGATGAATTTTTATTTATTTATTTTTATTAAATTTTTTTATGAATTGCCGCTGCTTTGTCTGCAGTGCAATATTGTGAGCTTGAGCAGCATTTTTATTTCTGCCATGCACCTCTGCTGTACTGTTTTTTTTTGTGCGTCCCTTCACATGCTCTGCTCCTGTTTTTACTTCTTTGCTTCGTGTGTCTGCGGTGGGAATCACGGTGCCATCGGATGGATGTGTGTGGGATGCCTTTTGCATTGAGTTTGTGGCCGGCTGACGCGGCTGCACGATGCCCGCCATGCGTGGAGGTGTTGCCTGCTCTTGGGGTCATTCTTTTCTCCTTGTTGTTTTTGCTTTGCCGGGTGCCTGCGTTGCTCGGTGTGTGCTGACGCGTGACGGACGGTGCCACGATGGCCTCCTCTGGCGATGACAGTCGCTGTGTTCTCGGCACACACATCCACACACACACTTCCTTGTCTCTCTGTCGGTGCTGGAAGCGTTGAAGGTCGATTACAGCCACACGGACACCCGCAGGGTTGCTGCGCCGTACTTCTTCCAGCACTGCGATGCCGCCGGCTACACGAATTTGTGGTGCCACAAGTACAACGAGGACAACAAGCTGCAGTGCATGACGGCCAACCTGATCCGCGTGTGTTTCCAGTGCATGGAGCACGTGCGCTAGTACGCGTTGGGCGTTGCGCTCATGATTGTGGAGGAGGGGCGGCACGACGTTGTGGCGCTGTGTGTGTTGCGCGGCCGGGGCATGCCGGCGATTGTGAGGAACGTGGAGTACACGGAGCTGTTTGGCTGGAAGGAGGTCGCTGACGTCGCGGCGCAGCGGGAGCGCATGACGGACTGCCTGTGCTGGGAGGGCCCGACGATCCCGAGGCCTGTGCTGGAGGGTCTGAGGAAAGAGAACAACAGCAATGGTGGCTGTTGGAGTGTGAGGAACGGTGCACGGGCGAGGATTAATTCTTTTTTCTTTTGATTGTTGTTGAACCGCGCCCACCCAATTGTTGTTGTTTTGGTGCGTGACTCTCATTGCTGGATGGGACGGTGCGTGGCTGTGTGACTTGTCTCCCTCCTTTTGCTTTCGCTCTACGTTGACGTGTTGTTAGTTTGTGCTGAAGGCTACACGCAAGTGACTGGAGTGATGGCGATGATGATGACTGGCCGTGTGGTGCTGGTGTGTGCCCTCTGCGTGCTGTGGTGCGGTATTGCCGGCGGTGGCCAATGGTGATACTGGAAATGATCTTGAGCATTCCGGCCAAGGTGATGTTGGGATTTTTAGTCATTCTTCTTCCTCGGTTGTGGGTCATGGGGATAATGGAGTTGTAACTGATGGAAATTTTTGGGGCAGTGGAAGTCACTCTCCGGGCTTTGCTCCTAATGGTGGCAAAACTTCACTTACTGGTGTTGTTGAGGGTGTGGGTTTAAAAAGCTCTAAGGATGCCTTAACTCCTGCAGAAGAAGGCCGTGGAGGAATGCAGGGTCAGCAAGAATTAGTGCCCAAAGTTTCACATCAGCCCGAAGCGGGAACAACAGGGAAAGGCCATCATAATGCGCCTGAACAGTTGCCCAACGCAAGAACCGAATTAGGAAATGGTGGTGGTGAAACTGCGGAGGGTGATGAAGTAAAAACCACCGTGAAGGATGCACAATTGGGTAGATCTTCCACGAACGACAGCCATCCACCAGCAGCAGACCGAGGGTTGAAGGAGCAGGAAGGCACAGTGAGAAAGGCAACATCAACAGTGGCATTAACGCCAGCAGTGGGACGAGAAACACCACCTAAGGCGGATCCAAAAGAGGACTCACCAAAGGAGAAAGCCGCGTCCAGCGCAGGTGTCACGCAAGATTCACCAACTGTCAGTCAACAACAAACACATTCTTTATCATCCTCCCAAAGTGGAATTGATCCGACTTATACTCCAGGGGAAGGACGCGATGCGGAGGAAGTTTTCAACAATAACCAACCATCTGGTGGGGTAGTGGTGAAAGAAGGAGCACAACATGAAACTGTTGCTGGCAGTGAGAAGCCAACAATACCAGCAGCTAACACCCGCAACACAATTGGCACAACCATTTCTGGCGACAGCAACAGCAGCACCGCGACAATTACAGCTTTACGGTCTGATGCTGGCACGGAAGGTACTCCAACCACCAACCATCTGAACCGAGCCTCCACTGAAGGCGCCACACAACCCGAAACGAATTCCGATGGTGAAGCTGTATCAGCCAACAAATATGATACGCTCTCTCAGAGTCCAGGATCCACAACAGCGCCAACCACAAACGCGAAACCAGGTGACACGGCGAGGCCTGTCGACAGTGACGGCGGCACCGCGGTCTCCCACACCACCTCCCCTCTTTTGCTTCTTCTTGTTGTTGTTGCGTGTGCGGCTGCGGCTGCGGTGGTGGCCGCGTGAGAGTGAGGGAGAGAGAGCCATGCACCGCCCGCACACACACTCGTCTTTCACTCACTCTCTGTGTGTGTCCCCTTGCATGGACTCTCGCCGTCACCTCATCCCACGAAACACACACATAATGTGCCCATTGTATATATGCATGCACACCCATGCAGGCCCGTTGGTGCTCTCTTTTACACGACACGCACCGCTGCCGTCCTGCCTGGCTGCATGGGCGGAGCACCGTAACCGCTTCTGTTTTGTTTTTATTGCATTGAGTGGGCGACCTCTCTCTCTCTCTCTCCCTGTGTGTGTGTTTTGCTTTACGGGAGCAATGAGAGTGTGTGCGCTGGTCGTCCCACGCTTCGGCTTTTTGTTTTGTTTTTCATTGTTTTGTGGTTGAGAGCACCCATTCCGCTGGCGGCGTGTGTGTGTGATGATATGAGTAATTTGCGTGTGTGCTATCTGCCTCTCTCTGCCGTTGCTTTCTTTGGACTCTCTTGTGGCGCACAGCTGCTCTGCAAGTATCGGCGCTGCCAAACATACAAGCACATGCACACAAGGCATAACGCAGACGCTGTGGAGTGGTGTGAAGTCTTAGAACGCATGCACGCACGCTGCGGATGGTCACGGAGGGCACTGTGGGGGTTGGTGTGTTGGTGCTTGTGGCTGTATTTGGCAACGCTCATATCCACCGTGTTGGAACGGCCGGTGTGTTCGTGGGCCGCTGAAGAGAGCAACGGCGGAAATGGTGACTTCCACGCAGTGCGTTCACAGTAGTCTCTCGTTCAGTGGCAGCACGGGGAGAAACAGTCACGACAGTTGCAATGCCGTTACGCTTGTTTTTGAGCATCCTGAGAAACGGTAAAAATATATTTGCACACACGACGCTTTGCACCCCCGCTTCAGGGCTGCGCATCACGATGAGGCTGCCGTGCGGTGATGCCGTATGATATGAGCAGCTGGGAGAGAAGGAGAGAGCGCTGTGCGATGCTCCTGCACCCGGAACTGACGCTGTGCAAGTGGTGGCAGGTTGGTGAACGGTCACACAAACACTGCAACACCACGAGGGAAGCAGACGAAACACTCCGCGTGCAGGGAGCGTTGCGGCCGATAAGGAATGTGTGCGACGGTGATGGACGCTCAGTCGACGACGGGTTGACGGTTTCTCCCATTGATGGAGTTGGTGCGCATGCGGTGTGTATGGCCGCCTCTGTGGTCTCCTGTTACTCCGCTGCGTGTGTCGCATCCTAACGCACCACTGGCACTAAATTGTTTTATTTCTTTTCTTTCTCTTTTTCCTTTGCCTCCCGCCACCCGCAGCCACGCTGCACTGCTACTGCTGCTGCTCACACGAAAGCAAGAAATGCATTTTTCTCAGGCCATGCGCCAGCCTCGCCATGCCACGCCGCCACTCCCATTGCTGGTTTTGCTGCTGATGTACTGCGCCATTGGGTGTATTGCCGCTGCACCCGCTCTGCAGCACCGCCGTGGATATGACGAGATGATGGGGAGGAGCGGCCCACTGCCGACTGTGACAGTAGCACCGCGGGCTTCCACAACAACTCTAATCTTTGGCATCTTCGTGACAATTGTGCAGCCGCAGCTGCGATGGTGGCCGGGCCTGCATGAAATGGTGTGTGCTGGAGGGGAGAGAAGGCTAGTGGAAAAAAGATTGTTCTTCTGATGAATATTGGCTGCACTTCCCGAGGAAAACGAATTCACGCGGTGTGCAGAGATTATTCTTTTTATTATTTTTACTTTGCTTTTCTCGTGTGTTTGTGCGTACCCTCCGTGAGGGGTGCGGACACGACGGACCGCTCTCGCCGTATGTGCATGCGGTGGAGCCTTGTGTGCCGCTCCTGTTTGCTTCTCCCTCTTCCATCTGTGTGTTGGTGTTGCGGCAGGGCTGTGTGTGCGGCGTGTGGTGCATGCCTGGCTGCTGCCCTCTCCTCGTGTGATTTGCCCTCTGTGTGTGTCTGCCGCACCTCTCGTCTCCCCTGTTGCTCTCCATGTCCCTCACTGTGCAGATAAGCTCCACACCACCGAACGACCACACTCACGATGATGATGACGTGCCGTCTGCTGTGCGCCCTGTTGGTGCTTGCCCTGTGGTGCTGCCCGTACGTGTGCGCGGCAGCAAACGGTGAAGAACTTACTGAAGGCCCCAGTCCACCGAAGAATGTAGGTGCGCCTGATGAGTCACAGGAATCAATGATGTCCGTTACTTCAGAAGACACTGAGCAAAACAAGAGGGCCGATCATTCAGCGGGACAAGATCCGAATGATAATACGATACAAGAACCAAATACGACAACCACGACAACGACGAAGGCACCAACTACGACTACGACGACTACGCCAAAGGCACCGACGACCACCACGACCACCGCGCCAGAGGGACCAAGTACCACGACCACTGAAGCCCCAAGTAACAAGACCACCCGCGCACCGTCACGTCTTCGCGAAATCGATGGCAGCCTCGGCAGCTCTGCGTGGGTGTGTGCCCCGCTGCTGCTCGCCGTATCCGCGCTGGCGTACACCACTCTGGGCTGAAGAATTGTGTGCGGGCTGTGCGTGCCAGCACTCATCCGCGAGTATTTGTGCGCTTTTTTGCTTTATAGCGTAATATGTAATAGAAACCAATGATCTACTTTTGCTTCATTTGCTTTTGCTGCCCTGATGTGTGCTCCATGTTGCTGCTTCCTGTATTCTCAACTTTGAACGCATCACAGAAACACTTACAACACGCAGACAACTGTTTGCATGGACGCATGTTTTTGTGCTGGTGCATGCACACTGGAGGCTTTTAGTGAAGTTTTTTTTGCGTGTGTTTTTGATTTTTTTTTACTTTACTTCTTTTTGCTGTTTTGTTATTACTCGTTTTACGTGTGTTTTTTTTCCATGTTTACTTGCTGCGGGGCCTTGTTTGTTTTCTTTCATTTTCTCAAGGTTTAATTTTCTTCTTTTTCTGTTATCTTTTTTTTTATATCTCTCATTTCCCCCACACCCTTTTTTTTGCTTTTGGGGGCAATCACTATGGACGTTTCTTTTTTCTTTTCTACTCTTCCCTCTTTTAATTGTTTCTTCTGCACTCTTCCTGTGAGGGGTGCCGTGTGTTTCCCGCCCAACTGCTCCACTCGCACACCCACCGACACGCTCATGACGACGGCCCTGTGCGCCTCGCCTGCTGCACGCATGAGGAGGGGCCGCGACGAACGGCGCGCTGAGGGAGCCGTGACGTGTGGGCGTGCGACGAGGGCCTGTGGGGCGGAGCACACATTTCTTTCCCTCTTGTTTTGTTTTCTTTTGTGGGCAAAATACATACAGACGGTTTGGTGTGGCCACACGGCTGCCAGGCGATTTTTCTTATTTTAAATTTGTATGAAACAGTAATGGACGATTTCTTTTTCATTTATAATTATTTTGTGTGATGGGGTTTATATAAGACGAAGGGGGACGTTTTTTTGTTTTCAATAAATATTGTGTGAATGGCCGCTGCTTGGGCTGCAGTGCAATCATGAGTTTGAGCGGTCTTCTTCTTGTTGTTGTTTCCGTTATGCGTCTCCGCTGTACATTTTTGTGCGTCTCTCCGCATACTCTGCTCCCTCTTTTCCACTTCTTTGCTTCGTGTTTCTGCAGGCACACACAACCACACACACACAAGATGCACATTGCAGTGGATTTGAATGCACCTTTTGTAGTGCATGCTGGCAGTTGCGTGTGGCGGCTGTTGTCTTCTTCCGTGGCCATGAGGAGGAGGGAGAGAGGGAGCGCAGCCCGAGTCTATTTTCCTGCGGGTGTGATGCACCGCGTGTGACTGCGCTGAGTTGGGCTCCGTGTCCCATTGAGGGCGGGATGGCAGGAAAACTTGTGCCGCGTCATGGATGGATGAGGGTTCGCTTGCTCCGTGTGCGTTGTGTGGTGGCCGCGGGGTTTTGGCCATCTCCCTGGGGCTGTAGAGATGAGCTGGGGGAGATGGTGGTGGATGTCTTCTCCTCCTGCATGGTGGGTGGCTGCTGGCGTTGTGTGCCTTCCTTGCGTGGATGCCGTCTCGTGGTGTGTGAACTGTGCGGCTGGGCCTGCTGCCCTCTCCTCATGTTGTCTGCGCTCTCTCGCCGTATCCGCTGTGCTCCGTCCCTCTCCCTCTCGTTCCATTCTTTTCCTTTTCGTCTCACCGACCAGCTGACTGACACCAGCGACTCCACTACGGGCGATGATGACTGCGATGGTGACGGTGCGGCGCCGTGTTGGTCCTTGCGCTCTTGTGCTGCTGCTCGTCCGTGTGCGTGACGGTGACAGGAGACGATAATAATGATAACAGCAGTCCTCCCAGCCCTGAGCTGGGGAAACCGGATCCTACAGAAAAATATGCCTGGTGCATTACAGCCATATGGTGGGGAGACCGGTGGGCCACAGACAGAGAGTGGGAGAGACAGTGAGGAGGGTTTGAGAATTCCAGGACCTTCTTTCCAAAGGAAGCAGGTACAGCCATCAATGGACAGGCACGAGTTCCGCCAGAGACACTGAGTTCGGCTAGCGATAATCCAGAACCAGCAGGTTTGGCAACTCAGTCTCCGCACACACACAAGGTGCGACCGGTATGTCAGATGCACAAAATAAAAGGCGCAGTAAAATACACAAGGCGATGAGGATCATAAGGCACAGATATCAGAAGAGAAAATGAAAATGCCAAACAAAACAAACACTACTACGACTACAACAGAGGCACCTAGTAATACGACCATGAATACAGAGGCGTCAACCACAACGACCACCCGCGCACCGTCACGTCTGCGCGAAATCGACGGCAGCCTCAGCAGCTCTGCGTGGGTGTGTGCCCCGCTGCTGCTTGCCGTATCCGCGCTGGCGTACACTGCTCTGGGCTAAAAGGGAGCGTTGGCTGTGCGTGCCAGCACTCAACCGCGGGGACTTGTGCGCTTCCACTGTGTTCCGATGTATAAAGTAAGAGTAATTATGATGATTGTGCTTTGCTTTGTTTGCTTCCACTGCCCTGCTGTGTGGTCCATGTTGCTGCTCCCTGTATCCGTCACGTTGAACGCATTCCAGAGACACTCACATGCACGACACGCATACAACTGTTTCTGTAGATGCATTTTTGTGCTGGTGCATGCGCACTGGAGCCATTTGGGTGCATTTTTGTATTCTGTGTTTTTTTACTGTTTTTCTTACTGCTGATTTTTTACTTTTGTTTTGTTTTTCCTTGTTTTTGTGTTCTTGTTGTTGCTAAATTATTACAGGGCGTTGTGCGTTTCTTAACTTTTATTGATTTAATGTTTCTCATGAAATGCGTGCTGCAGCCGGTGTTTTTTACTGTTTTTTTGGTTTTTCTTTTGTTGTATTTATTCTTGCCTTGCGTTGACGTGTTTTTAGTTTCTGCTGAAAGCTACACGTAACTGACAGGAGTGATGGCGATGATGATGACTGGCCGTGTGCTGCTGGTGTGTGCCCTCTGCGTGTTGTGGTGCGGTGCCGGCTGTGGTTTTGGTGATGAAGAGGAGGGTACGGCACTTGTTGTCGTTTCGCCTGGTGGTCGTTCGAATGACGGTAAAGGCGGGCCGGGATCAGCACCACCTTCACCGCCAGGAACAGGCACATCAGGTCCACGATCAATAGTACCCGAAAGTCAAGGATCACAAGAAAGAATTGCGGGAACATCTTCAGAAGAAAGAGAAGAAAAAAATTATCAAAACAAAGATGAAGAAGAGGAAAACGTTGCAGAAGATGGTGAAAATTCAAGACATCAAAAAAGGCTTTCAGAGCAGCCAACACAAAAAGAAGAATCTCACGAAGAAACTCCAGAAGAAAAGGGACCGAAAAAGAGAATAGAAGAAGAAAAAGATGTGCCTCCTCCAGGAGAGGAAGGAATAAAAGGGACACAACAGTCACAATCGCAACAACCACCGCCAAAACAATTGCAGGTACAAATAACAGCACCGGCAGGAAGAGGAGGCCCAACTGCACCAACAGGGCCAGCACGACCACCAGCACCCGCAGAAACATCATCAATGGATGGAAGTCAAACAATAGAACCAACAGATTCACGGAATCCATCACAATCAACGCATGATAAGTCACCGTTCAAACCAAAAA